ATTATCAATTTTACAGAATACCACGGGGCCTTGCGATGAGTCCGGCTGTTAGGGCATGCCCGAAGCACGTCACCTTGAAGTTTAATATCACAGCAGATTCAGTAGGTGGTTCAAGGGCTTCGAGAATACTGCCTTACAAGGGAAATGGCCGTGCCGGGCAGCAGCGGTATGATGGATGCTGGGAGGTTGTGCAGCAGGCCAGGAGTGGCCCGGTCCCACCAGGAAACAGCTACAGGACCCTGAGCAAGAAACCAATCATCCTTGGACCTCAGTCTCCTTTTCTATGAAGAGAGGAGCTAGCTTGTTTTCAAATTCAGTGTTTTCTTCCCTGGTCTCTGACCACCAAAGGCAAGAAAATTCTAGTCAAAGAAACAAAGACTTAAATTGACAGCCTCGGTCTTGACCTTCCTCCTTGCTCTGAGTGTGGGGCGGGCGCTGATCATGGGTGAGTCAGGGAGGCAGGGCCAGCCTTCCCAGGGACCTGGACCCATTGTTGTCACTTATCACACACTTAGACTTCATTACGCATCGAGCATTGTTCTAATAGACTGAGGTGGAAAGGAAGCCAGAGAGGTTCAGTAACGTGCCTCAGGTCCACAGCTGGACAGCTAGGGGAAGACTGAGATGACCTCAGGTCGTCTGGCCCAACCGGCCACCCCGGGAGCTGAGGATGGCAACCTAGTGATTCTGTCTTCCTGCCCCAGGGGGCCCCAGGGACCAAGCAGGCTGCAGCAAGCAGAAGAAATGACAAAGGGACAGGTGGAAAAGTTTGGAAGCCCCCGGGTGGGATGGCATTTGTCACTGCAAAATCTTAAAGCAGAGGTTTGCTCTTGCACGGTCAAACCACCAGCTGGGAAGCTGCCGGCTCCATGCCTCGGCCCAGGATTCCTGGTATCTGCGGCAGCCAGCCAGCAAGTGGGGGACAGTGCCTGCATTTGGAGGTCAGGGAGGTCATGAAGTTTGACTTTATCTGTTCTGTGACCCCATGTATCCACGGAACAGCTGTGTCTGCCTGACACGCTCCAGATGGCACAGGAATTAAATGATTTCCATCTCCCACCCCAAGCCCTTTTTTGTTTTTGTTTTTTATTGTTGTTGTACTGGGGCCACAGGTGACATTTATAAAATTCTTACAATATATCACAGTTGAATTCACCTCCTCCATCATTCTCCTTTAGCCTCCCTCCCCCTTCCCTGGAATCTTTTCAACAGGTCTCATTTTCCAATTTTCATACATGAGTCTAGAATATTTTCCTCCACATTCACCCTCCTACACCCTTTCCTCATATCCGCCCCCTCCCACTGGTGTCAACCCCCAGACAGGACCTCTTTTGCCTTCCCGTTTTGCGTTTTTGAAAAAGAGACACTTTTGTTTGTTTAAGGTAGCTACACAGGGAGTTTCCTGTGACATTTCCATGTATATATGTATTAAAACCCAAGTTAGTTCATCCCCCTCCATTTTTCTCCTTTCTACCATAGTCCCTTTCTTACGGTCATTTCAACAGGTTTAAAAATTCTATATTCATTCTTGTATAGAAAGTACATCAACCATGTTCACCTTCTTAACTTCCTTCTTTTACCCTCCCTCTCTCATATATGATCTCTCCTTAACATGACCTGTTTTCCATAATACTGCTGTATTTGTAGTGGGTCTGTATTCCACATGTGAGAGAAAACATGCTGCTTTTGGTCTTCTGAGCCTGGCTAACTCCACTTAAGATGATGTTCTCCAATTCCATCCATTTACTTGCAAATGATAAGATTTCATTCTTCTTCATGGCTGCATAAAATTCCATTGTGTATAGATACCACATTTTCTCGATCCATTCGTCAGTGGTGGGGCATCTTGGCTGTTTCCATAACTTGGCTATTGTGAATAGTGCTGCAATAAACATGGGTGTGCAGGTGCCTTTATTGTAACCTGGCTTAAATTCTTTAGGGTATATCCCTAGGAGTGGTATTGCAGGATCCCAAACCCTTGTTCCCGTCCAAGGTCTCACTTTTTAGGAGACTTTTACAATACTGTGCATTTCATTTACAACACTGTTTTACTTCTTCAAGGACAGGAACGGAGCCTCACTCATTTTTATTCTCTCAGTATCTGAGGCTATGTTTGCTGAGTGAATGAATGACACACCTAAGACTAAATGACATCTAACTTGCAACTGGGAGTCACCATGAAATTTATGTTGACTATTGATCTGAATCTCAAGGTAAACATAGAGGAGTTCCTAAGAAAACTTACTTGTGCTGTTTTCTGAAAGGATGATTTAGTAAGTTAATGATTACGTCTGGATTCTATAGAACTCTGCCTTTTACTCTCTGGGCATTTCATATTTGCAGATGTGCCGACTTCTAGGAGTGTCCCCTTCTCTTTGACAAGGGAAGAGTTAAGACTGTCCTCACACCGGTCCCCGTGTTCACCTGATCACTTTGCCTAGCATGCCTTCCGACTTTCAATTTCCTCCCAACATTATTGACTTTTGATCTCGGAGTGTAAGGGCTGCACTTTTATTAAGTTCAATTTACCATAAGAGCCCGTGTTCTCTGTGAGTCGGACATCGAAGGCAGTGAATAATCACAGGCTTCAGTCACCCAAGCTTTAATTCTGCTGAGTAACTCGGAAACCGACTAATGACAGGAAGGAAAAACACTGCAAGGAAGCCTGAGGTGGCCCCAGAATCAGGATCCACCGTGCTGCCAGGGTCAAGATATTGGCCAGCAAGAGATGGGTGGCCACAGAGTAGGACCCAGGCCAGGGGCTGCTGGGTGAGCCCAGGCCTCCGGTCAGGAGGGGAATCAGGGAGGCCAAGGGGCCAGGAGTCCAGGCCTGTGTGGATGTGTTTGGAGAACAGCCCTAGCTTCCTTTGGGGAGGCCACAGGACACTCCAACCTCTGCCATCTGCACCTCCAACTACTGTTTTTTAGATAGAGCGTCGCACTCGGGCCTGAGGGGGAGGAATTTTGGTTTTTTTTTTTTTAATGTATTTGATAGTTTTTCATAAAATGCTCTCAGAGGAGAGCTTGGAAAAAAGAAACTCTTATGAAACCATTTTGAGCCCCCTCTGTAGCCAACCTTGCTGGCAAATTGTTTACAGATTCGGTTCAATGTCTACCCAGAGTTTAACTACACGGGTTCCATAGTCAGCCTTATTCTTGGGGGCGCCTAAGGCTAGAAGACAGGAAGATTCTGCTGCCTTCAAGGTTATATATGAAAGTTCAGTTCAGATATATCAGGGGCCACCCAGGATGACAAAACATTAACTTCCAGCTTCACCCTGTGCCTGCTCCACAAGGAGGAAATCTGCATTGACTCAGAGACACCCTGGTATCCAGCACTGAGCAACCAGGGGGGACTGGGGAGCAGGTGTGATGAAGGGACCAGCTTTGGGCTGGCTGTTTCTACCAAGCTTCTCTGACAAGGCAGGGAATAGCAGGAGGTAGGGAAAAGACCCTCCACTAACTAGAACTGCAGTCCAGACAAGTCAGTACTTTCCGCTATGGTTTAAAAAGAAAATAGTAACCTACGCTCTGTGTCTCCATGGTAACAGACTATGAATTTATATTCCATCTATGGAGTTCCTTGTTGACCTATCTGTGTTCTCTGATCCAGGCCTGAATAGACACCGAGAAGCCATCAGAATCAATCCAATCTCTAAGAAATATCAATCCTCTCACTGCCTAAGTGTTCACCACTGGACTCTGCCTCCATCCATGAAATGGTGACACCTGCAAGAAACATTAAGGTTTCCATATCTCAGACAACAGTTTTTCCATCAGCCAAAACCCCAGCTCCTAAGTTACCATGGAAACTGCCAGTCCCAGTACCAGGAAAGCTGGTACTCCTCTCCCTTCCAGGAGGCCAGTCCTTGAGATGTACAGATCTTCAGTCCCATGGCATTGCCTGAGCTGGGCTTTTCTATTTCATAGGCATCTCAGGAGCCTGACTTCCCTGCTAAATACCAACCATCCAACCTGAGTCTGAACAGGAAACGCAGGCGTTTGCAGTGGTGACCCAGGCCCCCTGGCAAACGCACAAACTGCCATGTTGGGTGTTGCTGGTTTGGGAAGCAGAGGCTCTCTGGTTTCAGTCTGTAATTTCCCATTTAGATGGCCTGCTAGGGGCTAAGGGGAGTGGCTGAATGGGTAGAGCGCATACCTAGCAAGCGTCCTGAGTTCAAACCCCAGTACTGCAAAAAAAACATTTTTTAAAAATTGAGGACCAGGTTATTTGTGCTAAGGGTCCATTCCCTACTATGTAAAGTGGAACAAGGCCTTGGAGAATTGTGATGACAACAGAACCTTGATGGCCTTGAAAGCTGTGCCCAGACCAAAGCTAGTCCAGGTGGTGACCACTTAGGCACCGCCCAGCTGTAGGGGCAGCGCAGCTCAGCCCTCCCAGACTCGTAGACACGGCCACAAGCCCACTGGGCACGTCCCCGTGGGAAGGCACGTAGAGCCTTTCCAAGATAGCCGGACCAGAAACCAAAGTCCAGTCACAGTGCCAAGCACCGGACTACCCACTGTTCAGGCTTGACCACCCCACCCAGCAGCCACCAGCACGCCAGCACCAGCAGCACCTCGCTCGGCGGACCCGAAAGGCACGAAGGGGTCCCCGATTCCTCGGGACCGGGGAGGACAACGGCTGGCCCGCGGCCACACTCCCCGCCGGCCGCAGCTCGGTCCCGGCGCCCAGAGGCCAGCAGGCGAGGGACAGAGCCGTGTGACCGCGGGCGGAGGGCGGCCGCGCCGGAAGGAAGGAGCCCGCCCTCTGCGCTTGGGTCTCGGCTCTCCTCCCGCCGGCCCGGCCCCTTCCCCGGTCTCTCCGCCCTCCTCCTTTCCGCCCCCGCCCTGTCCCCTCCCCGCCTCCCCCGCTCCTGAAGAGCGCGCGGCGAGGGGGCCGGGCCGGTTACTTCCTCCCCGGCGGCGCCCAGCGCGGAGTGGCCGCCCGAGCCCATCGCCAGCCCCGCCGCGGCCTCCCGAGCCCCCGCCCGCCGCCCCCGGCCCCGAGCCCCGCGCCCTCGTCACTGTCGCCTCCCGAGCCCGGCGCGCACCGAGCGGCCCCGGCCGGCCCTGCCCTGCCCTGCCCTGCCCACGGCGGCGCGGTAAGAGCGGCCCGCGAGCGCCCGGCGCGCTCCCCCGGGAGGGACCCCGCGCGGGCGGGGACAGGGACGGGGCCCGGGGACCAGGCCCCGCACGATCGACCGGGGCCGAGCTGGGGTGGCGGCTGCGGCGCCGGGGACTCCGAGGGACGCGCGTCCCGGATCGTTTCCCGGGGACCCAGGGGCCTCGGTGGGGGTCCGGGGCGCTGGCTTTTGTTTTGGGAAGGGGACGCGGGCCTGGTGGGGCTGCGCGCCCCGCGGACTGGATTCGGCCAGGAGACCTCCGGCACCGAGAGAGGTGCAAGGTGGCCCCAGGTTTGCTGGTGGCCAGGGAGGATCTGGGGCGCCTGGAGCACCTGGGCGCTGCGGCTCCCAGCGTGTCACCTGCTCGGCCACGTCCGGGCCCGGCCCGGGCTCCTGGGCACCTCCAAAGTGACCTTTATTTTCTCCTCCCTCGAGCATTTGAATGGAGGGTGGTCGTTTTGCGTGTGTGTTTGTATTTTTTTTATGTTTAATTTTTTTTTAAGCGCATGAGACTTGTGTTAGCCTGGACTCAATTTTCAGGTAGCCTAAAATAGCAGTTGACTCCTCGCTACTTATTTAGAAAGTAAAACAGTGGGCAGCCCTGTTTGGAGAGAGGAGTAATTCATTTTAATTCACCAGTAACAGATTGTTTGTTCCTTTCAGTGTGCGTGCGTTATCTGCCTGCCCACACCGCCCCAATCGCGGAATAAATCTCCACGTTAGGCTTTATTAAAATTCTGAGTAATATCGCAGTGCACTGCATGCGAGCCCCGTGCGCCCCGCAGTTCTGGGATTAGTCATTCGTCTCCCTAAACTGATCGCTTTCAAAGAGAAAAGCAAATCAACCTCCAAGCAGATTCCTCACCCCCACCCCACCCCCCAAATTACCTAAATACAAACCTGTGCTCTAATCTTACATAAGCGATTACTGTTCCAATGACGGGACTGTTGTCAGGCAAATTCCCCTTTTAAACGAGCCATTCTCAGTCCTCTGCCATCTTTCTTTCTTTTTCTTTCTTTCTTTCTTTCCTTTTTCTTTCTTTCGTCCTTCCTTCCTTTCTATCTTTCCTTTTCCTTTCTCTCCCTCCTTCCTTCCTTTTTTCCTTCCTTCCTCTCCCTCTCTCCCCTTTCCTTCCTCTCTGTTCTTTTCTATTTCATCTTAATTTTTCTGCTTGTTCAAAGGCAGCCATCAGTCCAACAGCACCAAAAGATCTAAACTTGAAGTTGATTCTATGGAGAAACTTAGAAACTCGCCCTGTTCCTCCACCCTTCAGTTAACAAGCGCATTGAGTAGAATGAGTGAACTGAAATTTGATTAGCTGTGTTTCTGCCTGAAACCATTTAGCAGAGCACTTTAATTTGACATGGTTTTTACAAAACTCATTAAAAGCTGGACAACAAAGGAATTGTATTCTAGAGCTAGTAATTACAGCTGTTTATGCGGGAGTGGCAGACTGCCTTTTCTCTTGGTGTTTGTACACAAAGGCCTTCCGTGGCCTCCTGAATCCATTCCCTGCCCATCTCAGAAGCTGAAAGTCAGCTGCACGTGGCCCTTCCAAAGTGTTGGCCTGCCAGACCCTAGACGGATGGTAGGGACACTCCTGTGTCTGTCTGTTCTGTTTGAGGCTGTTGATTTCATCAACAGGTAACAGGACTGACTCCGCCCAGGCGGTGGCATGCCCTAAGCACATTTCATTTGGTAGAGAGAAGAGCCTGGTGTGATAAGCTGTGTAGACTCTGTCCCCTCTCAGGGTGCAGTGGGGAAGGACGTGTTCCTTCCCATGTATTTGTCAGGACTTAAGCACCCCCAAGTGGGACCTGGTCTCCATTCTGCCCTCTCCTAGGGTGGCCCCCATAGTAGCCGTGTGGCTCCAGGTTAATGTCTCCATGTCCATGTTGCTGGGCCTCAGTTGCCTCACTGGAAGGCGGCATAACATCTGTGTCTCAGGATTGCAGGGAGGTTCAGTTGGAACATAGAGTACTTAGTCCTTGGTGACCAGGCGTTCTGTCTTGGCAACCATCATTAGGAGGAAATATTGTTTGCATGTGGGTGACTTGGGTGACATGGTGCACCAAGTGGAGAGTCAGCAGATATGGACACACATTTGGAGCCAGGCCAGCCCCTCTCCTAGCCTCCCCTAGGATTGTTCCTCATTCTCACGTCCCTGGCTTCTGTTGGTTTCTGCGAGCGTAGTCTGCCTCTTGCCACCCTTGTCATCTTCTTACACAGGGTTGTATGTTAGTGCGTGCGCGTATGTTGGGTGGCAGGTTATTAGCACATCTGAATGAGACATAATGTTGACATAAAAAGCCAGAAAGGTGGCAAAGTTTGCCTCTGTTAGTTGAAAATGATGTTGGGTTACTTGCTTGCTTTCTTTAACACTGGCGGTATCATCGGAATGCCTTTCTTAGTATATAACTTGCTGACCAAACAAGGACTTTGGATGGCCCCAACAAGTTCCAGCCAATTGTAGCATTATCCAGCTACAAGGCACAAGTTAGGTTTTCTGGTAGCCAAGTTAAAAATAGTACAACAGGTGAAATTGATTTTCACTAGGTTTGAATTAACATAAATGTCTCCAAACATATGACCTAAGCATGCAGTACATGTACAAATTCATGAGAAAGTTTCCTCTTTCCTGCTAAATCTTTGAAATCTGGAGTGGATCCTACTCTCAGAGCAACCCTGGGTGCCCAGTAGCCGACTATGACCCATAGTGGCTGTGAGACAGGTCCACACGTGGAATCACTTCCTTTTCAAAAGATGCATAACTGAGTGACACCCACCCAGATGTTTTGAGCTCTGTGCCCAGAGCAGGAGATCCAGGACACTGGTGGAGGGCTTGGTGCTCCCATCTTTCACCCCTCCCCAGGGCTGGTGCTTTGTATGACACTTTGATGAGGAATTGGGAAGTGGGAGGACCTTGTGGGCTCCTTCCAGCCAGCTTTCCTGGATCTGGGTCCCAAGGTGCTTCCAGGGCAGATAAACCTCTGCAGCTCCCTGTGGCTCCCAGCCAGAGCTGACAATGCCTGGCACAGACAGGAGGTGGCTCTCTGCCTCATTTCACTACCCAGTTCTCACCTTCATGAACTGTGGAAATGTCACTGAAAATCCAACAGCCCTCTTGCTAACCTGATCAGCTAACCTGGGGGGGAGTGGACAGAAGGCTGCTTAATCAAGAGGCACCCATCTAAGAGGAAATCAGAAGGGATGAGCATTACTATTTAAATGCCCTTGTCACCCTTCAGAAGTACCTCCCTAAATAAGTGTTCAGCCATTCAGGGGCGCCATTACCTGTCATCCGTGCATCTCCCCAGAACCAAGCCTTGATGTCATCATGCTGACTTCTCCAAAGTGTGTTTCCTTTAGTGCTTCTTTGAGTCTTATTTCTTTTTTGTTTTCAAGATGAATGACTTTGGAGTGAAGAACATGGACCAAGTGGCCCCTGTGGCAAACAGTTTCCGAGGGACACTCAAGGTGAGTGAGTGAGTCTTCATTAAATTTTCTTTACCAATTGGTAAACTCCATCGGTAGGAGACACAAAACAAAACATTGGGCTAGATCCCAGAAAACTGGTTCTAGTGGCAGCTTTTTAATTGACTATGTGACTGTTGGCTTGTTTGCCTACTCTCTCTCTCTCTGGGCCTCAGTTTTCTGGTCTGTAAAATGGATGTCTTCATGCTTGTTGTATTTGTACTTCCAGAGAGGAGCCTCTTTATGTTGTAGATAGTGAGGCCTTTGTAATTGACTTCTCAGCCACCTTCCAGGTGGGGGAAAAAAAAATTCTGTGATTTTTTTTTCAATAGAACAGCTGGAGACAGCTGCCTACTGTCTTTGGGTTCACTCAGCAGTTTGTAGAATGTTGAGAAGGCTGTGGGTGAACTGAAATGAAAGCGCTTAGAAGAGACAGCTCAGGGCTTCCATGGGGGAGGGGCAACGCCCACGGGTTGTTGGGAGCCTGTTCTTGGCAATGAAGAACAGGCCTGTGTATAAACCAAAACCCAGATTAAAAGATGAAAGAGGCCCTCGGCTGGGTAAACACACATGGCTGCTGTCATTCATTCCTTCCTTCAGGAACATCTTTCCTGTGCAAGCTGGCACTTTCTTATTTGCCTTCCAAATGTGACAGCAAGATTTGGTTGTGCTTGAAGATTTATTGTAAGAGCAGCTCTCAAGTAGTGAAGTTGGCTTAGCCACCGGGCTCCACGTCCTGCCTAGTGACGGTGTCTTTCTGGTGTGTCCTATTTCCCTTTGTAAATCACTTTTGATCATTTTTTAGTTAGTTTGGTAACAACCCCCAAAACCAGAACTCAGCACAGGTATTTCTCCTATGACAAAGATCATCAAACTTAAGTTTTCCTGTTGATCTGGTCAGGTGTCTTAACTGTAGCAGAAATTATTAAAAACATTATCATTAGTAAATTGAAACCACACCCCTAAAAAAATCCTATGAATTAAAAGAATTTGGTGATGCTCTTGATTTCTGGATTCAAAGAAAAAAAAGAGTCATTGCCAGATTTTATGTGTTGAACTACTTAGTAAGCATTTTCATTGTTCTCCAGCTTCCCAATTTTAAAAAGAGAACTTAGAGGCCGGAAAGACACTTCCTGGTCACTGGGCAGTGCTGGTGGGAGTTTTGAACGTCGATTGGGTGTTTCACCAAAATTAGCTGCTCCAAAGTCCTTTATTAAATCCAGATGAGTATTTTGGTTTGCCCTCCTGGCTGTCAGGCAGTGGCAAGTCTTTGTCCTGGGTTTTGGGGGTGTGGGGGAGCTGGGCTCCAACTTCTGTCACCCACCTTTGTAATGCGTCATTCACTGTTCTGCATTTCTGAAAAGAGAGCGCACTGCCCATTTTATTTGTAAATGTGTTACACATCTATTTACCCATGACTCAACAGACGGGTCATTGTATTACACATAACATGGGATTTCCAGATTATGTTGGAAAAATAGAACCTTTCTTCACATTTTCCTCCACAAGTCAGGCAACGGTGAATCAAGACATTATCTGTTCCTTTTCAATGTGTCTTTCGTTAAAGGCTGTTTTTTTTTCCCAGAAATATTATATGAGATTTCCAGCAATCAAGTTTTATCTTTTGACACAGCCTCAACTGTACATAGTTTTAACTGATTTCCTTTGGAATTTTCCCCCCGTAGTGGATGATTGGGGGAGGGGGTTCCTTTTTAATACACTTTTCTTTTATAAAATGAAACCTTAAGGAGTTATTTTCTGAAATATTGGAGCTGATGAGGAAACACTTAGGTTGCTTTTCGGTAGACATTTTAAGGTAAATGCATCCAAAGATAAAAGTTTGTCATTGGCTAGACTAGTTTTTACTCAGTCCCCAGTCTTTTGTTAAGTGCACTAAAGGAGCCTGTGGAGGGAGGGTTCTCTTTTACATTCAGGACTGAACTTTCTCTGAAGTAACAGAGGAACAGGTGTTAGCAAAAGGTGTCTCTGAGATTCTGCCCAGCATTGGTTCTAAGATTCTGTTATTTTTAAGTTGATGTGGCCACCAAAATAAACTCCCAATCATTCTGACCCTGTGAGGTTAATTAAATAATTCAGAGGAAAGGAGACACACGTGGGTCACTTGACCTTAGGAACCAGTGGTTAATTCCTTGTTGTTCCTTGTAATTGCCAGTTGAGTCAAGTCAAGGGGAATGGGTAAGAGGACCTGGGGACCACTTTTCGGTAGGCACTTACATGAGTTCCTGTTGGATTGACATCTTCTTCTCCCTCTGTTCTGCAGCGACAGCCTGCCTTTGACACCTTTGATGGGTCTCTGTTTGCTGTTTTCCCCTGTCTCAATGAAGAGCAGACACTCCAAGAAGTGCCCACGGGCTTGGACTCCATTTCTCATGGTAATTTCTTCTCCTGACTTGACAAATGGTGCTGATTTCCAAGTAGTTCAGTTAATATAGAGATTGTGGTTCCTAAACCATGAATGTTGATATCTTGTGTCTTTGGGATGAAAAGTGTTTAGAAGCTCTGAGCTTGAAGGTAGTTTTCCTGTTGTGTAGGCTTCTCAACTCTTCATCCCCCAGGCAGCCCCTCTATGGGCTGTAGGCACTCTCACCAAACCCGAGGTCTCCACCATGGATGTCTTCACTTCTTCATATCCCTGCTGTGCTCTGCAGAGCCCACATAAGACAGTGGACATTAGACTACACCCCAACTCTTAATTCTAGGTTCATGTGGTTAGTTAAATCACGCCCCTGCCCCGCCCCCATCTCCCCTTCCTCTTGTTAGCCTTCCCCCATCTGTATTATTTCTGTGGTTCTTAACGTCACAGTTTATTCTTTTTGAAGGAATTGCACATCGGATAATGTCCTGGCAATTTCTGTGATTGAGTTATCAGTTGGTAACATTCACAGATTACTTTGTCATATGAACCAGGTGCTGGGAGATACAGCCCAGAAAATTAACTAAGTACACACGCTGGTGTAGGCACGACTGCCATTTACATTCTTGAAATTTCTGAGCCATCCAAAGAAGGTTGCCTCTGCCAGGTGCTGCCTGCCTGTGTCATGCCGGAGTCCCTTTGCCAGTGGCTTAGTTTACTGGGTGGACCTCCCAAATTATGCATTTGCCATGCCTTAAAGCTTTGGACCAAAACCCATGCAATTCCCTTCACTGGCTAAAACGTCAGACCTGGGTAGAGGCTTGGTTTATGCATCCCTGCTTTAGGTAGCTTTACAAAGCAGAATTAAAGCTAATTGTTACTTTAGGTTCTTTTTGTAAGTGTAGTTCCAAGATGCATACATTTTGTTCCATATTTAGTGAGTTCTGTGCCACTGAGCTCCCTCCCCCGCCACCGCCCCATATTTGCTTTGCTTTTTTTTTTAAGTTGCGTTTCATTTATGTATTTTGGTGGTACTGGGGTGGCCCCGAGGCCCTTGCTTGCTAGGCCAGAGTGGCTTTACTATGTGATTCATGTCTGTGATCGTTTAAGGAGTCATGCCAAGAGTTGGGCTCCAGATTGTTCTTCCTGAAGCCTGAGTTTCTGCCCTCAGTCTTCATTGACGCTGCCACTTGAAGTCCTAATGCCCTGTGGGTTTCCTTCCAGACTCTGCCAGCTGTGAGCTGCCCCTGCTCACGCCGTGCAGCAAAGCTGTGATGAGCCAGGCCTTGAAGGCCACGTTCAGTGGCTTCCAGAAGGAGCAGCGGCGTCTTGGCATCCCCAAGAGTAAGTGCTGGCTTGAGGCTGCGGCTCAGAAGCACAGATGTGGCTGTGGGGTCTCCCGCAGACCACAGCATTGGTGACCTTGTCCTGGGTTCACACTGCAGCCCAGTCCACTGCACACCTCAGCCAGCGCCCGTTGTGTCCATGAAAGGCACCACCGGTGTCATGGCATGATGGTTGTCATGGACTCGGACTGTATCTGGACTTGGGGACTAAATGAGGGTGGCTCTGACTCTCTCTGCCTTCCCATGTTCACCCTGTGTCGGTCTTGTCTTCCATCTTCATAGACCCCTGGCTCTGGAGTGAGCAGCAGGTGTGCCAGTGGCTGCTCTGGGCCACCAACGAGTTCAGCCTGGTGAACGTGAACCTGCAGAGGTTTGGCATGAACGGTCAGGTGCTGTGCAACCTTGGCAAGGAGCGTTTTCTGGAGCTGGCACCTGACTTTGTAGGTGACATTCTCTGGGAACATCTGGAGCAGATGCTCAAAGGTACCTGGGGTGACTTGGCTCACCTGCTGGGTGAGCTGGGGCGGGGCTGGGTGATGGGGAGGGAGTGGTGGGTTACGGTAAGGAGTAAGTCACCTCACAACACCCCCAAGTGAGTCCAGAGGGGACTCAGGCCTCCATCACCCCGAGTGTGTGGGCGACAGGGTGTTCACAGCATCAGGAGCAGCTACGGGGCTTAGCCTTAATCACTGAACTCTGCTCCATTGCCGGGCTGCACTGGTCATGCCAGCCCAGGCCACAGGCAGGGCTCACCACAGGCAGCCTAGAGACAAAGGGAATCCAACAGAGAATTTTTTGGGGGGTGGAGGGGAGGGTTAGCTATTTAAGAAGTGAGCAGTGGATACACACACACACTAGTGAATTGTGCAGAAGAAACTGGCCAGAGATCCAGAAAAACATCTCCAGACACAGGCCACATCTTGTGTCACAGCTAAAAGAACAGTGAAACCCTTGTTCAAAATGTATCGAGTTAAAAAAGGGATTACTTAGGTTAGCGTATAAGAAAATCATTACTATATTTATTGACTTTGGGAAAATACTCCTCACCTAATTGATTTTAAACACGTTGAGTTTCGGCATCTCCCATGGACTCAGAATCTTCAAACTGCTTGGATTTGACCGCGAGCTCTTTTTAGCGATGGCTTCTGAGGGCCAGGGAAACTTTACTTGTAAAGTCCCCCAAACTTTCTGGGAAGTAGGGCAGGTCTCAGTGATCGGTGCTTGCTGAACCTGTTTATCTGATGCGTCTGGCCTGTTTTGCCATCGCTCAGGTGGGCGAGTGCGTGTGTGTGCTTGTGTGCTCCTAGTAGGTGTTTGTGCACAGAGAGTGCACGCTTTTGCCTTCCAGGTTCATGGGCACACAGGTCCCCCGTTACTGGCTCCCACAGCACTGTGACCCTCACCACATCTCCTACCAAACCTTCAAGGTGGGAGGTCATGGACCACGGGCTTCATGGGGCAGGACTGTGCTCATTTTCTTTCCCTCTGTACTCCCAGCACCTGGACAAGTGGCCCTCCATAAACATGTAGCCACTTCTTGAACAGAAGACTGAATTAAATTCACAGTCTTGGTCTTCCCAGATTTGCACTAGAAAATTTCACTTTGTCATGAAGTCCCTAATTTTAGAAAACTTACTCTGGTATTAGAAAGTGTCTTGTCATCTCTAGTTTTTTGAAAAAGACACATGGGTCATGAGGCACTATCAGATGGACGAGAAGCACCGAGTGCACACAGTCATTCTAGAACCCCCAAGCAGCTGGCGCGCAGAGAGCAGCGCTTTGCTGTGCAGCCGTTACCCGGATTCAGCATCTCACCTGTGTAGCTGTTCCCTGGCTTTGCCTTCTCACGTCTCCTGTGTGTTTCTCAGAAAACCAGGAAAAGACAGAGGACCAATATGAAGAAAATCCCCACCTCAACTCCGTTCCCCACTGGATTAACAGCAACACGTTAGGTGAGTCTGGTTGATTCTGCACTGAGAGCCCCTTCCTCCAGGTGGACGTGGACTCAGGAGGGAGTCCCAGGGAAGTCTAGGCCTGCACTGTCCCCGGTGGTGGCCACATGGGCACTGAGCTTCTGAACAGGTGGACTGTGACCGACCCACATAGAGATGTGCGGTTGGAACATAAGGGACACAGCTGAGCCCAAAGTCAAGGACCTCATCACCCATCGCCTTGGCTATTTGTGACATATTGATTATGTATTGAAATGGTCAATTAAAATGGGAAATTGACGTCCCTGGAAAATTTAACGCGAAGTGGCTCAGTGCTGATTTAGCAAGCTATAGAGTGAGGGACAAAAGGACGTGAGCTGCAGGCTGGTCACTGGGGTTAATTGAAGAAGCAGTGAGGGCGGCACGGGGGTCCCACTGTCGTGGGACTGGGCTCTTCCTCTGGTCACTGGCTCTAGTGGGAACGCGTCACGCGGGGGGCTGGAGCGCCGTGGTCAGGCACGGTTTGCTGTCAGCTGTCATGCTGACCTTAGTGGCTCTGTGGCCCCATCATTTGGCCCCAGGCTTTGGCGCGGAGCAGGCTCCGTATGCAATGCAGGCGCAGAGTTACCCCAAAGGCGGCCTCCTGGACAGCGTGTGCCCGGCCTCCGCGGCGCCCAGCACGCTCAGCTCCGAGCAGGACTTCCAGATGTTCCCCAAGTCCAGGCTCAACACCGTCAGCTTCTGCTCCGTCGCCCAGGACTTCCCCGGCGGCAGCTTGAATTTGCTCCCCAGCAACTCAGGTGAGGGCAGACGCTCCCTGCAGCAAGGCTGTCGGTTTGATTCCGGGAGCCACACTCAGACCAGACGTGGGCTTCCTTGTCCATATGTCCTTGTGTCCGCCGTTGGAGGAGGTGGTCAAGGCACTCCATGACACGGACACTGTGTTCTCCATGACTTCCCAGCAGGCGTGGTTCTCGTGTGCTTCAAGTACTAGTCTGGGTATTGCACACCTTGAGTGAGTGACACAGACACAGTCCCTACTCTTGAAGCGGAATTCCACCACAGTGGGACATCATGGTGGCCGTGTGACAGTGTGATGGCTTTCTTTTAAAGAAGACCTGACATACATACAGTGCAGAGAGCTCAGGTTGTACAACCGGTTCAAGTTATGCGTGTGTGTACACCTGTGGGCTGGGGCCACCCAGGTGTAGAAAGAAAGTGTCTAGCACTACTGCAGGTTCCTTCATACCCTTCCCAGTCAATAGTATCTTACTGCAAGAGAAAACCATTCTGAATTTTTGTCATTATGGGTTAATGTTCACTGTTCTAGAGCTTCATTTCTATGGACCTTACAGTTTTTCTTTTGGATTTGTCTTTTGCCAAAAATCCACTTTGTAGCCATTTGTTCTTTTTCATTGCTGTATAGTATTCCGTTCTCCTGTTGATATGATGTGACATACCTATTCCTAAGCAATAGGCGCCTGAGTGTTTTCAGGGGTCTAGATGTACATATTCAGGTGTCTGGATGCATTTGGGGGTGCTTGGCAATGAGGCTGCCATTGGACCTAACACCTACCTGTGGTCATGCCTTCGTAGCCCTGGGCCCTTTCCATGTCTGGGAGGACTCAAAGCCTGTGCTGGGTTGTCTTTGCCAGGGAAGCCCAAAGACCGCGACTCCCCGGACAATGGCGGGGACAGCTTTGAGAGCTCGGACTCGCTGCTGCGCTCCTGGAACAGCCAGTCCTCCCTGCTGGATGTGCAGCGGGTGCCATCCTTCGAGAGCTTCGAAGACGACTGCAGCCAGTCCCTGGGCCTCAGCAAGCCCACCACCATGTCCTTCAAGGACTACATCCAGGAGAGGAGTGACCCGGTGGAGCAGGGCAAACCAGTTATTCCTGCGGCCGTGCTGGCTGGCTTCACCGGTGAGTGTAGCGCTCTGGGAGCCCCAGGTCATGGCCTGATCGTGCACGGCCGGCCATGCTCCGTGTTTACCCCGGTGCTTCCCAAGCGTGGCATGGCGTGTTGACACTCCACGCTTCGTGTGAGGCTGGCTGTGTCCCTGAGCTCCAGACAGGCCAGCCGGGCAGGAATTTCATGTCCTTGGAGCTCAGTGCAGTGGACAGAGGCCCACAGGCCACACCTGCAGTTCTAAGGTGGAGAAGGAGGAGGGGACCGGCACGCGGTCCTCAGCCCTGACTCACCCACTGCAGGATCTCCAAGAATGCAAACTGGCCAGGGGAGAGGCCACCGTGGAGCTGGCCTTAGACAGAACCCGCCCTGCTACCTCTCTGGCCTCCAGAGCCATCGGTTCTTATTTGTCAGGTTGGGGAAGAGCTATTCTAGGCAGAGGACAAATATTAAAACTGTTTTTAGAACCAGATATTTCCAGTACTGGAGCAAAAATACCAAGACGTTTTGTTTCCGTTGCTTTTTGTGTCCTTAAATGCATTTTTTCCTCATGTGCTGACCATGTGGAGACAGTGTGGATTTTTTTTAAAATGACTGCTTAAAAAAATACAGCAGGGCTGGGGCCTTGGCTTAGTGGTAGAGCACTCGCCAAGTACGGGCAAGTTCCTGGGTTCCATCCCCAGCACTGTGAGAAGAAACAGTGTATTGAAAACCAGGATATATGGTCAGCCTTTTTTTTTCTTGATGGTACTGGGGTTTGAACTCAGGGCCTCACACTTGCTAAGTGGGTGCTCTACTGCTTGAGCCACTCCACCAGCCCTGTCTTGCGGAGGGTTTTTCAGGATAGATAGGGTCTCATAAGCTATTCACCTGGAGCTGGCTTTGAACCTCCATCCCCCTGATCTATGCCTCGTGAGTGGCAGGGATTATAGGTGTGAGCCACTGGACCCTGGCTTCTTTTCTATTGTGTAAAACAAACAGCCACAAAAGTAAACCGTGGTAGTTGGCAAACCTGGGGGCTGGAGCCTGGTTGGAAAAGAGCAGTTGGAGTGTTGTGTTTTCCGTGTCCATAAGTTACGGTTCCATAAGTTACAGATGCTGACGGTCAGCTCCGCGTGGCTGACAGGCATGGGTGTGGCCTGTGGCTCCTGGCGGGAGTAGTGGTGGGACCCATTTTACAGAGGGGGAAACTGGCTCAGAAGTAGACAGCTCTCTGTGGCTGTGACTGCCTCAGGATGCTTGTCCTTTGGGACTTTTGTCCAAGCTCTTTTGCATTTTCAGGGGACAGATATTTGGCAGAAAGAGGCTGGGCTTAGCATCCTTGCCTCGCCCTGATGGCGTGTGCTCCAGGACTGCCATCCGTCTGTGCCTTGCAGCGTGGGGTTCCAAGTGTGAACCAAGCAAAGGCCCCGAGGGGCTTCACGCGCAGGCTGTGAGGCGGTGGGGGTACCCCAAGCCTCCCAGGAAGCAGCATGCCCAGTCACGAGTGGCATGCCTCGCCCTGGGGTGACACGATTCTTCTGTCCTTGTGCCTCTTCTACAAATAAATACGGCTTCAAGATTTTTAGTCAGGGAACAATCGAACAGGAATGCCGAGGGGTGGCGACTCCTGAAAGAACAAACTCAGGAAGGGTGGCTCAGTGGAGTGACTGAGTGTCCAAGTAGGAGGTAGAGGAAGAGCTGTGTGGTGTCTGTCTCGATGCTGTCACGGCATTTGTTACTGACCCCAACACCCAGGCCTCCACCTCCACCTTGGTGCTGTGTTCAGAGGCCAGCCCACATTCTCCCATCAGCGAGTCTCTGTGCTGGAAGTTTGGACATGGGTGACCGTCTCTCTTTGTCTACACAGGAAGCGGTCCTATTCAGTTGTGGCAGTTCCTCCTAGAGCTGCTGTCTGACAAGTCCTGCCAGTCGTTCATCAGCTGGACAGGGGACGGATGGGAATTCAAGCTTGCAGACCCCGATGAGGTATGGCTGGAGCCCTGGGAGGACTCTGGGTCAGGACAGGGCTCAGCAGGCCGAGAGCCTCTCTATGGGGAAGGCTATGGCCTGGCTGGACTGGAGCTGGACTCGGCAAGGGTCCCGTCTGGGAACAGCAGCAAGACCTCCATCTGCTGTTGTCTGATCAGAAGGCTGAAGCAGCAAACTGAGGCTGTCTCCTTGGGACATTTGTCCTTGTCGCTTGGGGGGGAATGAAGTGGCAGTAGCCCATGGCCCTGGAGGCTTGGAAGGGCTGCTGGAGAAAACTAGTCCAACATGACCCCAGCATCCCAGGACAGCATTAGGGAGCCTGGTGTCTGGCATGTATGCTGTGTCACCTCCCCAGTCCCCTGGGGGGGGCAGGGCAGGGAATGAGCATGTCACAAAGCTCAGAATCCCATAGCAACTGTTACCTCTGGTCATTGGAATGAGAACCCTGAAGGGGAGTGACACCAGTGTGTCTCCTTTCTTGGGTCCTCTTGGCTCTGTTTCCTTGGCTGCCAGGAGGCTTGGGGAGACTGAGCTGGGAGCAGAGGGTGACCACCTCCCTCTGTTGTCCAAAGAAGCAGGTGAGGAGGGATGTGGTGAGGAAGGACAGACAGACAGACAGACAGAGCCTCCCGTGGGTCATCTGTGGTTGTCAGGCTGTCTAGGGTGACACCCCACGCATGAGAGTCGGGTGTCACTTGCAGCCCTCACGTTGCTGAACTCCAGCCTTTTCGTTGTGTCTCTCGAAGGTGGCCCGCCGGTGGGGGAAGAGGAAAAATAAACCCAAGATGAACTACGAGAAGCTGAGCCGGGGTCTGAGGTATTACTACGACAAGAACATCATCCACAAGACCTCGGGGAAGCGCTACGTGTACCGCTTCGTGTGCGACCTGCAGAACCTGCTGGGGTTCACGCCGGAGGAACTGCATGCCATCCTGGGGGTCCAGCCGGACACAGAGGACTGAGGCAGGCCTCTGGGACCGCCCCGAGCCAGCCCAGGGCCTGGGGACCGAGTGGGAAGCCCGTCCTGACCAGCTGCTCCAAGGACTCCGGGAGGACGGGATTGAACCGTCCGGGGATGTCACCGGCAATCAGTGGCCTTCTTTCATCCCAAACAGCGCCTCTTCAACAAGGTTGTCCCTTGTGGCAGAAGGTGGCCCGGCTTCTTGACCGTCCAGTCTACAGAGGATGGGCAAATGCCACCATTCGGTGACCACCACCGAGACGTAGGCGCTGGGAAGCTGCCCTGGCCCGAGCTGGCCATGCGGGTGGTTGGTTCTGGCTACTTGAACTTGGCCAAGGAACGAGCCTGGAGACGCACAGCATTTTTTGAAAAAAAGAAAAAAAAAAAAAAGTTTTTTTGGCCTTTTACAACCAGGAGTAGCAAATGTGAAAGAAGGGTGGGAGACGCAATCATGCCATTTCAGAAGTCAGTGTGTATATATTATTGTAAGCTTATAATTGTTCTCAGAGTCCTCTACCACTTCTATTTAACAGAAATTGTATATTGTAATTTAAAATAATTATATAACTGCATTTGAACCAAGGATGCGCTATCCAGTATGTTACTCCATTCTTCTGTGACACAAGATTTAATCTGCCCGCGCTGACTAAGAGAGAGTCAGGGGCGTGTTGTGTCCCCTTACTGTCCCTATAGCTGTTAGGTCTGAGGGGTAAATCCCTGGTTTCTGTTGTTGTTTTGCCTTGGCTGTTATCTGGCAAGGATTTTGTACATTGAGGGGGGGTTTTATAAGAAAATTATTAATCTGGGGGCTTGCCAGCCTCCGTGCAGTTTTTTCCTTGTAATGTCAGAAGTATAAAGCCCTATTTTATATTGCTTTACGTTTCCAGTTGCATGCATGCCTTAATTCAGTTTCTACACAAATGCATCTTATTTTTTGCTGGAACTCTTCCTGGCAGTTCACCCCTCCCTAAGCAACATTCCCTTCTGTGCCCTGAGGTGGTCTGTGCATTAAAACAAGAACACTATTTTTGGAAATAGGCGACTCCTTTTTGGAGATCCGGGGGGATTTATGTAGCAGCTATTTTTACTGCAAAAGTAATTCACTGGAAAAAAATGTAATTTGTACGAAAGTCTTATTTTTATCTTGGCTCCGTGTAAGTTAAACATTAGAGGAGCTGGAGGGGTGGGGGTGGGAGGGGGCTTGAGTAAACCTCAGCTGACCTTGCAGGAGGCATGACTCTGAGCTCGAGGGCTCCCCTGTCATGTCCTGGACCATCAGGATAGCATGCTTTCCTTCTGCTCACTGTTCTCAGCAGTTTTTAATGTGTTTTTTTTTCTTGGACATGAACACCTAGAGGCAGCGAGGTTGTCCAGGACAGGAAAGAGCACATGGGAGTAAGTAGCAAATGTCCTGATGCTGCAGCACATTCGGCCTGGCATCTGGCTGGAGCTTCCAAGGCCACCGTGGAGCTCTGGTCTCTAGAAACCATCTGGTCACATTGGCTTCAAAGTCAGACAGGCTTTGCTGTTTGCTAGTAGGATGGTCATGGACCAGTGGGTGACATCCGTGAATAACCGTCATGTGAAGAGAGCACAGCACGGACATGGGACAAGCTGGAGCCACAGAGCCAGGCCTGGGACAGCTTGGCCTTCGTGCCGGGGAGAGACCACAGTGCAGCTAAGCCTAGGATATTTTCCTCAAGGGGACCTGTTTATCACTGGGACATCTGGTTCAGATATAAACAGACATGTGACTGGGAACATCTTGGGGCGAAAGACATCCCGGCCATCGGCAAGCTTTGTATGAGGTGGAGCCACACGAAGTTGCCAGTTTTAGACTGGATTTTGTTGTCGAGTGGTTGAACCCAGCAGTTACAGGAACTAAGGTCTAAGAAGCCTTTGGCGTGGTACTGATGACTAAGTACACAAGTTTGTTATTCGGCCTTTTCTTTCTCAAATAATAAAGTGTCTGGTTTATGCAAACACCTCCTGTGATAGTCCTTGGTCTTTGTCTCCACCCCACATGGAGGACGTGGGTGAGGTTTTGAGCTGCACACCCATTCCCTGTCCATGGCTTTGTGTCACCAGGAGTTAACCTGGAAACCACAGCCAGGCTGGAGGCCACTCAGCTGTTCCAAAGGAGTTCCCAGAAAGTACGCCTTATGTGGAAACCCCTATAGAAAGAACCCCAATGAACGGGCTCGGGAGCCTTGTCCTCGGAAGGAGACAGGGAAGAGATTAGGGCACTGGGGTGAAGCCCTTTTTAACTGGAGGCCACAGCTCTCCACGTCCCCTCACTGGAACTCTGACATGGGTGGGTGACAGCCACAGACGGGATGGTCCAGGCCTCGTGTTCTTGTTCTCAGGACTCCTTGGCAATCTCTGAAATCCATGAGGACAACGAAAGCTGAGTCAGTACAGCCAGCGGTGTGCTGAGCAGCTCCCCGGGCTCTCCCAGGGCTGGGGCGGAGGGCACAGGCTCTGCCAGCACCTTGCGGGGACAGAATTTACACCATGGGATTGGCAGGTGCTACAAGTCAGGCCCCCACCACCCAGGGAGCTGGTGGTCAATGCTATCAGACCACCAGTTATATCAGTGGTTAGCAGTTCAGAAATTCTAACAAGTTTGAAGATGATATTTCGTTTCAAAATAATGCATCACATATGTTAGCACAAACAACATTCTCTTTTTTTCCTTTTTTTTGTGTTTTTCTTTTGTGTGTGTGGAGGGGGTGGGTTTTTTTAGCAGTATTAGGTCTGAACTCAGGACCTTCCACTTGCTAGGCAGGTGCCCTGCCACTTGAGCCACTCCCTCAGAACTTTTTTGCTTTACTTATTTCTCAGATAGGGTCTCATGTTTTTGCCCAGGGCTAGCCTTGAACTGTGATCCTTTTACTTATGCCTCCTGAGTAGCTGGGATTACAGATGTTTACCACTACACCTAGCCAAGAATTTTTCTAAATAAGATTTTTTTAAAGGAAGGCATTGTTTCATATGTTTACCAATCTCTTTAATGTTTTGTTCAGTAAAAGAGAATTAGATTATTCTTTTCGCTTCTTTTTTTTTTTTTTTTTTTGGTTAGAACTGGGGCTTGACTCAGGACTTTAAACTTGCAAAGCAGGTGCTCTACTGCTTGAGCCACACTTCCAGTCCATTTTGCTCTGGTTATTTTGGAGGTGGGATCTCAAGAACTATTTGGTCTGGCTGGACTCAGAACCTCGATCCTCCTAATCTCAGCCTCCTACTTAGCCACAATTACAGGCTGAGCACCCTGCTGATAACTTCTTGCTACTTAATTGCAGCTGGAATCTGAAGACAGCAGTGATGGTTACATTAAGTTCCTTTGGCTGTTTTGTCCCTGCGTGATTTTGTTACATCATGCATTGGTCATTTGAATAGATGTTTTGTCCATGCGTGATTTTGTAACATCATGCATTGGTCATTTGGAAAACAGTGCTTCAAGATACAGACACATTGCAAGTGTTCAAACATCACTGATCTTTGTAGGAAAGATGTTGTCACGCACACGGTGGCAGATTCAAGTTTTTAAGAATTCACACTTTTTCCCTGAAAGTTAAGCTTTTATCATCAGCAACAAATCCTCCCCTAAATTGTTTTCTTTGACATGTCAGGCTTGTTCCACTTGTTTTTGAGAAATAACCTATCAAACCCCCAATGCCCCTAGACAAAATTGTCAGTTGTTCTTTTAGGTAAAAATGGTGTTTGTGCATGAAGTGGTTAGTTTAGCTTGTAACTCCAAGGCTGTGTTTCCTGGGGAAAGTGCCCGCCCTTCAGCATGCAGCAGCAGAAAGAGAAGGGTGCATGTTCTCTTAGCAAAGTGAGTTTTTATGCTTGAGCAAACACATTCTTGTATAAAACTGGCAAATTTTCTTTTGTCTTTTCTTCTCTCCCCCAAGTTCATGATGATGCAGACTGCAATGGTTGCCAGTCAGTCCTAATTCATGATCAGACACCAGGGGTCTTCCCCCTTTACCTATGCATCATCAGTGCCAATATCAACACAGAAAAAAGTGCCAGGTATTAGTGTTATTGTAAAAGTCAGTTTTGACCTTGAGGACTGCATGAGATGGCTTCAGAGGCCCCGGGAGTGTGTGGAGCACACTTTGAGAACCATTCTGCAAAGGGGAGAGACTCCCCCAGAAAAGAGGAGTGCGTCTTGGTGGGGTACTGTAGGGAAAATGAGCCCTGCTCTTTCCTAAGCCAGGGTCCATGACTCTGACTTGCCCCCATCACTAGATGAGAGGAGCATTTTTATTTCAAACAACAAAAAAAATCACCTCTTCTTCTGTACAATGAAGAAAAGGTCCTTCACACTGTGAAGCAGACACTGTCAAAGTCCTTTTCCTGTGTCATTCTATCTTCATCCTTTATTTTTGCCAATACTGGAGTTTGAACTCAGGGCTTCACACTTATGAGGCAGGTGCTCTACGACCTGAACTACACCTTCAGTCTTTTTTGCTCTGTTGGGGTTTTTTTCCCCTTTGGAAATTGGCTCTCAATTTTTGTCCAGGCCAAACTGAACCACAATCCTCATATTTTAAGCTTCGCACTGTGTCTAGGATGACAGGTATACACAACCATGCCCTCCCTTTTTTCTGTTTAGATGGGGTTTCACAAACTTTTTTTGCCCCTGCTGGCTAGACCTTCAATCCTCCTGTTCTCATCCTCCCAAGTAGCTAGGATTCACCAAGTGGCTAGGTGAGTCACCTGTGCCATCTTCCTTTTTTTTTTTTTGATGCTATACTCCAATTTCAAATATTTTAAAGAAAATATGTATATCTTATTACAATTTTTGGTTGTTCAGAATTGTATTATGTTGAGTTATACTAAACAATTAATGTAACACTAATTGTGTTAGTTAGCATTCTGTCACTAGAACAAAATACCTGAGACAATCAATTTATCAAGAGAAAAGGTTTATTCTGCTCACGCTTTGGAGGGTCCATCCATGGTCAGTGGTCTCACTGCTTTGGGCCTGTGGGAAGGCAGCACATCATGGTAGGAGCATGTACTGAAGCCAGACTGCTTGCCACAGTGTCTGCTCAGAGAGAAAAAAGAAAGAGAAAGATGCCAGGGTCCCACAATTCCCTATTAGTGCCACCATGGGGACCAAGCCTTTAGCACATGGCACTTTGGAGGACACTGAAGATCAAACTGTAGCAATACAATGACACCATTACTTCTCAAAGTACCCTGTCATAATGAGAGAGACATTTAGGAAGACTTTTCTAGGCAGAGATAAATTTAAATCATCCCACCAATGGCACTTTCTACCCCTTTTAATATTCCAATACTTTCTCTGAGTGTACACAAAAATTATTAATTATGTTTGCCAAGCAATTATAAAGCATCAACTCCATGTCTCCAGAAAAGTATCTGTAACTTCTTTTTACAATAAGGTGATTAGTCATTTTAATGATACCATCCACTGGGACTTTGCACTTGTGAAAAATCTTAATCTGTCTTAATTTCCCCTTTGTGAACTGGGGTAACTAGGTGACCACAGGTGGATTAAGAGAAGTATCTAGAGAAGTCATCTGTCTTAGCATATTCAGAACGGAGATCCTGCCAGGACAAGTGCGTGGCCTGTCCTCTGACTTTCCGCATGGTGGGGAAGCGCTGGACCTTCGCCACCGCCTGGCTTCCCTCGCGTGGTGCTGTCCAGCTTCCTCTGCTGGCGGCGGACAGTGGTTCAGAGCTGGGCTGCTCGGTGGCACGAGTGAGGTGCCCACGTGGGACTCCCGAGGGGGAGGAGCTGAGTACGGGGGGGTGGGGGCAGCAAACCGTCTCATCTCCCTCTGGAAACGTGGAGCAAGTTCCATGGAGCAAGTCAGCACTTGGTTTGCTGAACTTCGGAGCAGCTTGGGCTGCCACTGTCACCAGCTCCCCATGCTCTGCTCTGTGACCTGGCTCTTGCAATGTATTGTCTGTCTGCCTTAATGTCCCCTCTGTGAACTGGGGTCGCCAGGGGGCTGCAGGTGGATTAAGGTCATTGAGGCACAGTCAGTAATTGGGGGAGGAACTCAGTGCATGTGCAGAATACTTTAGGCACAGTGTTCTGAGCCAGGGGTCTGCGAAGAAGTCAAGGTTCCAGAAAGTCACATCTCCATGTTCATACACAGTGACCAGCAGAGGTCAGCAATGAAACGGGTCCTTAACTGAACTGGCACTCAGACCCAGGTCTTGTTTCCTGGTGGGGTTCTCTGACCACAGTAACCACCCAGTGTGCTATGGTTTAAGGTTTCCTTTGATTGCCACCGTGAAAGTATTGGGAGTGACACCTTCCAAGGTGACAGAGACCTGTGGGCCCTGCCCTCTCACCATGATGGCGAGACTGGGCTCCTAGTCACAGGAGTGGGCTCCTGAAAAGAATGGTGAACTTGGAGCCCCTTTCTCTCTCTGTCTCACACTTGCTTTCTTGCCCTTCTGCCCTGTAATGACCCAGCAGGAAGGCCCTCACCAGAAGCCAGCCCTCACCTTGACATTGGACTTCCCGGCCTCCAAAACTGACTTTTCTCTACACATTGCTCAGCCTGTGGTATTCTTTGTTTGTTTGTTGTTTTTATTGTTGTGCTGGGTGGGGTACATTGTGGCATTTACAAAAGTTCTTACAATGTATCAAATAAGTCATTCTTGAATTCACTCCTCCATCACTTTCCTTTATCCCCACTCCCCCATTCCTGGAATAGTTTCAACAGGGCTCAGTTTCCCTTTTACATACATGAGTACACAGTATCTGCACCACAGTAACGGCAGAAAACTGACTAAAACATGGAGCTGAGTTCAAGTCATTGTAATCTCTACCCCAAATGCTACCCAGCCCACACCCACACAAGCTTCTAGTTCCTCCTTCCACAAAACCTATCCCACAGCCCTTGGTTTGAATTTTAAAATATCTGTGAACTTCCTATCCAAAGAACACACAGTTCCTGTCGTGTTCAGTGGCTGGCAACAGCTCATTTGGTTTGAAAAATGCAAAAATCCCATAATCTGGGCCATATGTCGTTCTGCTTCTTCTGTAGGAGCAAAAGAGAAGGGCGAGACCCGAAGCATTGGGGGGAGCCCCTGGTTGTGCAATTATTTTGCAACTCCTGGGTGGAGCTCAAACACGTGAGCTCAGCTTGAAATCCAACACTAAGGGAAAAGACCATTTTTAGTCATAACCAGTATGATGACATCTTTACAACTGGAACTGACATGGCCTGTGTTCCCTGTGCTGTAACTGCCCCTTCCCTGCCTCCCAAAGTCATGTTCAGAAGGCAAAGAGGCCCAGGATCGCCGAATCTGCCTCCTGCCAACTGGTTCCATGACTCTGGCTTTAGAACTGGGACTTGACTGGGGACCATGTGGTATGGCGTCAGAAGTGTGGATTCGTGAGGGCCAGTGGCCTGGGTCGG